GTGACATTTATTGTTGGACATAAATCACTTCTCTTGTTCTTGCCGGATAGGCGTCGGAGTTGGATAGAATCAGTTCATATTGACAGGAGCAAAGTTACTAAGCGTCTGCATCAATATGGGCCATCTACTGGTTAAATGGAGTCATTTATTTCGGGTCCTAGTTCATTTAAACCGGTTAACTCGGCCCTGTTCAATTTCAAACAGACTCGTCGACTCTTCTGATCTTTTAAACATTGTTTATCTTCTATCCGCACTTTGTTTATTTGCTTTCTCGACTGTATTCGATTGTCTTTTACTCCAAGGATTCAAATTTTTGATTGATAAGGAGTGCATAGTTGTGTACCGCTTCGGATACACTTATTGCATGCCAGGTTTTTCATCCGTACAAGGCCTATAAATCATATAAAATTGTAAAAGTAGGATATTAAATGGCGATGAGAAAGAGTAGATTCGCTCTTTGCCATTTTGAAAAATTGTGTCCGTGGCACACATTTGTAGTACAGCGAGTACAATTCCCGAATGTAGTAAAAATGCAAATGTACAGTACAACTTTTAAAAATTCCAAAGGATCGATAATATATATTTTTTTGTTTCGGCTCAGACAGCTTGTGTTGAAAGAAAGCTTTTGCTTATCCAGCCAATCTCAGTCCAAGCAAGCTCCATTTAATCTTTAAAGGAACAAATCGCCCATTCCTCCCATCTCACCACTTACCCTAATATCACTTAGGAGCGTTTAGAATTCATTACTTTGTTGGGGATAATGGTTTGTGACGCAACTGTGGTTAGCCCCAGTTTAGTTTCCAACTCACGACACATTCTGATCCGAGCAGATGCGATTGATATCATGAATATTTTATTACTTTACATACTTAACCATTACTCATCTCTCGCAGTGTCCCGATAAACAATTATTTATAGACGTGTCGATTTGTATTGTTATGCGGGGTGTGCCCCACCCTTTTCTTTCATACGGCGTTACGCAGATGGCCTCCCCCGATCCGTCTACAATGCTACTGTATGGCCCGCTCCGTACTGCACCATCTGTTGTACTCGTCTGTCAGGTACGGTGACTGACATCCGTGGCTATATATATATATAAAACAGAAACCAGGCTTTTCACCATCGCTGGTTAGACTTATAGCTAACAGATTATCCCGGTTAATCAAATAAAGTGTATTCTATATAGAAATTCAATAAAGATGGTTGGTTGCTCAAAGAGTGAGGATGACTCGGAGCTGTATAATTATACATTAAAGTATTAAATCATTAATACAGTAAGGACGTTTAAATAAATAGATTTTTAACATTAAAACGTTCGGCGCAATGCCGCCGAGTCGTGCAGTCGAGCATCCATGCATTCATTTATCCTTTTTTTTCCTCTTAAACTTATGCTTATAATATTATATTTTTATGATATTCTTTAATTTTAATACTTTAAAAACCTCCTAAAATTAAATAAACCCATTAAAACCCTCGAATAATATTTAAAAATCCGGTTTAAAAAATCACATTTTTCAATTTTCCTTTCGGCTTTTAACCCATAAATTTAATAAAATTTTACATAATAAAATTAAAATTATTAAAATTAAATAATTAAATGTTCGAAATTAAAACTTGAATTTCCAATTAATCGGCATGAATATTATAAGAAATATTTTATATTTAATTAATGCGACGAGAAAGTCGCAAGAAATATAAAAGAATATTTAAATTTAAATAATATTTATTTTAATTTCACTTAATATTCGTCGTATTAAAATTAAAATTTTAAATCGATTTTAATAATAAATTTTATAATAATATTTAAGTTTATTAATTAAAATTATTATTTTTCTTTGAAATTAAAAAGAATTTTCTGTGCATTAAATATACTTTTTACTTAGGGATTATGTCGTTACATCTAGCAATATATTTAGGTAATTTTAGGGAGAAATATAAGTTGTGTTTAGGGATATTTAGGGATATTAAATTTAGAAAATAATTAACTTATCAGTTCAGTTTTAAAGTAATATTTGTTAGGGATTATTTAGAGAAAATGTGTTACTGTTTAGGAAAATTTACTTAGTGTTAAGGATTAGGGAAGTTGTATCTCGTTTTAAGGGTATTTTTCTTTCTGTTAGGGATTAGGGGGAGAGTGTATTCAGTTCTAAGAGTGTTTGCTCGGTTTTCTAAGAATATAGAGATATTTTTAAGGGATATTTTAACATTTAACCTGACGAAAAATACTGCATTTACATTCTATATAAAATTAAATCCCTATTAAACACTCGCGTAACTTGCAGACGTAGAGGATTTAGGGAATAAGTAAATCGCGTACGATAAAAATCTTAGATTTATCGACGTTTCAATAGGAAAAGTTAAAGGTAAATAGGGAATTTAACAGGAGCGATTTATGAGAACGATCATTCATCAGTGTGGTAAGAGGGATTAATTTCGAGTGAAAAGCTTACGAGAAACGTTGTAGGAAAAAAAAATAGCTTTTAAAAGTCGAGGAATCCTTTTATTAATGGGGAAATCCGACAAGAATTTAAGAGCGAATGCCATACGAGGTGACAATTAAACAAAATAAATCGCTTGCAACGGATATGGCCAATCGGGCGTTTCCTTCCCCGTCACGTGACCGGAGGTCTGCTTCTGGTCACGATTCGAAAGCGATAACGTTACAAAGTAACCATGGCAACCGGGGGGTGGGCAACTGTTACCGAAAAGTGACAAAACCGTAATGATCGGAGAGCGTGTTTGTGACGAATGAGGTCAAAAAGTACACAGAAAAAATCCCTAATAAGCGCATAAAATTGAGGGTATTGTTTACAGGTCTCGGCGGCACGTGACCGGAATGTAACCCCCCATCTCGTTTCCTTGTAAAAAAGGGAATCGTATAGACACGTATCGATTTATTTTACTTTTCCCCCTCCTCTTTCCCTCTCCCCCTCTTCCTCTTTCGTATTTTATCCCTCGCCACTACGATACTTTATTAATTAAGGTAATTTGAACGATTATTTTCAATTTTTAAAATTAAAAATTGGACGATTTTTACGTTTTGACGTTCGGGAAAATTAATTAAAATGCGTAATCTGTTAGCAGGTACTTTTAAGAGAGTCCGTAACTTTTTATTTTCTTGTAATTTTAATCACTTAAGACCGTTAAATGTCGGATTAAACTGTTAAATTTTAAAATAATTAATACTCTTTATTTCTTTTTTATTTTCTTTTTTAACTTGTTAGAATTTAAATGTAGCTAGGCCTACATTTACTTAATAAACAGCATAGAAGTGCGTAGGGCCTGAGAGAGAAGAGACGAGGCCCTATACAGAAGCTGTAAAAATACATTAATTGAATAAATAAAAATAGATTTTATCGGGTTTTTTCATAGAGAATTAAATTTTGGGGCCTCTGTGATAGGAGACGAGCATAAATGGCCCTACCAAAGGTAATTTGAATAAAATAAAAATACCAAGAAACAATTTTTTATAAAGATAGTCCTTAAATTGTTTACACAAAATTTATGTTTCTTTCACTTTCGTCGTGTTCGGATCCTTCGTAAGGTAGTTTTTTTCCATTTTATCCGCAAAATGGTGGCGAAAAAACACGTTTAGACAGTGGTAAAGGCGTAATTTCGATAATAATGAACGTAATAATGTCGGCGGAAACTATTTTTTGATAAATGTAGAAGTGATTACAATGATAAAAAGTCTTTAAATGTCCATAAAAGTAATGAGAACGACGATAGTTACAACTTGTTAAGCAACTAAATAACATATATTATAGGTGTAAAAGTGATTATTACGATAAATTATTAAGAATATTCTCACATTTAATGCGATGACAATAAAGATTTTCTTATTTTTAAAGGTATTTAAGAAGGGAGATGGCTTCTGTAAGGTGACGATCGTCAAAACTGTTGATTATCTTAATAATAAAAATGATTTATAACCGAATTTCGTTATAAATATTGGTAAATTAATTAGAATATTAAGCAATTTACAGCATCATTCTTATCTACTGTACGAAAGAGGAAGTTCTGAATAACCTAAAATGAAATAAAAAACGATCAATTATTATTTGATTAATACCCTCAGCGCATTATTTATAAATTAAAGTAAATCAGCAGTTATTTCAGTAGGAAAAAAAGACAATTTTCTGGACAACCAAACGAATCTTTTCTCACATTTCTGAAAGGATGTGCCATTAGACGGATATTTTTGCCTCGGAGAGAAAATCAATTATACAAATGGATAAGGTACATCCTATGAGAATGACTCTATTTAGTGCAATTTCCCAAATAGATACTCGGTACACTTGGGTGATTGGATACGAATTTCATTTAAATCTTAATTCGCTAACTTATTATAACTAATCCACCTCAATGTATACTTTAGAAATATTTAAAAAAAATGAATAGAACGAGTATTACAACGAATACGAGTATAATAATCTATAGCGATAGTCGATTAATAAAGTATCACTCATTAGTTTCATCCAAATGAAAATAAAAGAACAGGCGAATGGTGGCTTTCTCTCGCGGCTCCGCATCTGCAAGGAAAAACAAACTTGCTAGGGGCTACCTGTTTAAACTTTAAAAAAATCAATTAAATTTTAAATTGTCGAAAGATTAATTTTTAACGGATTATCTTTTAAACACATTTAATTATTAATATATAAGATTATAACCTTAAAAATTAATATAAAAAGTCGGTAAAGGTATATATTTTAACAATAGATACTTCTTAGTAGCCTTAACTCCGATACGTGGTATTTTTTTTTCCTCGACGTTCTTTAATTTTTTAATGTTTGTTATCATCTTTTCTGACGGATCTTCATTAAAATTCTAGAAAAAAAAAAAGAGAAACTCTCGCTAATTTCGGTGATATTTTATATTTTCTTAATGGCAGAGATGGGAGAGAACGGCGCAACTTACACTACATTAAACGGGTCTTCCGGTTGCGCATGCTTCGTCTTATATATAATGGAAAGCAAGCACCTCCTCTTCGCCCGCTGCACCTCTTTCCAATGGACACGTTCTCAGAGGTGGGTGTGTCGACATAAGCAGCTCCCCATTCCCACTATCGATCATAGCAACTCGACTCCAGGACACCAACCGGACATTTGATGACATATACTCACAAATTTATCGGCCGGAGAAAAATACAGCACTTAACAAAATTAAAAGTCTTCAAGCAGCTTAGCTTATACATCACGGCAAGAGCCGAATATCCATGCACTCCAGACTGAGGTAGAAATGACGAGAATACCCACCATGTGTACACCGCTTGATACCGATCTACTGTTGACTCTACTTTCACGAAACAAAGCGCTAGAAGGTCAGCAAATTATTTTTTCTCCACAATTTTTCTTTATTATTAACGTATAATTATATTTATATAACTTTTAATTTTAACCTGAGAAAAAATATCCCTATTGTATCTATTACCTTTTAATCTGAAAATGGTCGCGTTTATGGATGCACTTAGCTAAATTGAGGGTTGATCAAATTATGGTATGGCCCTTTTCTCTCTCTCTCTGTAGCTTCTATTATTTTTTCCCCCTTCTTCTTCTTCTTCTTCTTCTTCCTCCTCCTCCTATTCCCCTTTCTTTAAATCTTGATTCTAAATGTAATTATGGCGCTCCACACCAGAGTTTAAACAATATTTCAAATTACTGTTTGCCTTAGCTATTTATTATACTGTAATTTCGCTTCTCGACTTATCTAGTCGCTTGTATAGAACGTATCGCATTCTCCTCTTGGATATGTTCCGTAATGGTAACGCTTACTACTGTACTTTAATCGCCGTATCAACCTTTGAAGGTTGTAAAGTTAAGGTAAGTTAACCCCCCTTTTTTTCGGTTAATTTTAATTAATTTTTCTTGGCTCCGTTCCGAGTTAAAACTTATAACTCGAGAATTCTACTCTTTTATGAGTTTATAACTTAGTTTTATAAAGATCGAAACTTTCTTCCTGATCAATTATCAAATTTTTCTTCTACTTTAGTTGTTATCGATGCAGTTTTTTTTATAGAAGAAATTCGTTATTTACACTCGAATATTGTCGAAAAATAAACTTTAAATCTTGAAGATTTACTTTAAAGTCTTTAGTTTAGAGGGAAGCTTACGTTATAACCGTGAAAATCCTTTCTAAATCCTTAAGCTCTTTTAAGTGTTAGGATAGAAAGCAGAATTAAGCAAGCTGAGAGATTCCCTTCTTACTAATTATTATCGCTTAGAATGTTATCTTTGTTTATAATAATCAATATTAAAGTCAATTAGACAATTACATTTTTAATTTTTCTACAAAAAGTTATTCATTTAAGCGATTATTTAACTGTGTAACCTGTAAAATATAGGAAAAAAACCGCAAAGTTTAGCATTAAAAATAAGAAAAATTTCATAATTTAATTAGTTTTTAACTTAAATAATCCGAATTTATTATGTTTTTTTTNTCTTATAATTTTAAGGTAAGATTTATAAAAAAAAAAAGGTACATTTATATATGTTATTTACGGGAATAAAAAATTAGGCAGAGGTTGCATTTATTAAAATTAATCGAGAATGGTAGCCGCGTGTTCTCTCCACCGAAAATGCATTATCTAATGTGTATTAATAACCTCGTTTGAATTGAATTATATATGGATTTTTATGGAGATTTCTTTTTTTATGAGAGGGAAAAATCTATCTGAATTGACGTTTCTGAAAGAGGTAAGAAGGATTAGCTACTTAATTTCGTTATCTAAGTGGGATCCTTCTATTAAATGAAATGCTTTAATGTACCTGATGCTGTGTCTTTACTGACAATGAGCACTCCTCTGTAAGCAGAAAAGATCTTTTTGTAGAAAATTCGCTTCATTGTAAGGGATTGTGTGAAAAGGCATTCTTTGTATAAGCTTTAATTCTTTGCAAAATTAAATATTTAGCATTTAGAACCATCTTCCATTGATCTTTAATGGATATGTTTATTTTTTAAAAAATTATTCTTATAATAATAAAAGGATTATATAAAATACAGTATGTTACATTATGTTAAGACAATAGTAAATACAAAACAATTTTCAGAAAAATAAATAAATTAATAAATGTGCATAGAGCTTGAAAAATATCTTAATTTTTTTAAAAATAAGCGGAAAAAAACTCGAGTTTGTAGAGTGTAGCAAGATCATAATATAATTTACGAAAAAATATAATTGATTTTTGAAAAATATTCAGCTACTATTTTACATTTTAATTAGTTGAATTGGAGAAAAATTTATAATTTATAGCGAGAATGACCTACATCATAAAGAATAAAACGATATATTATTTTAAGACGAAANAATCAACACACGACGATATTTCGGTGGGATAATTCTTTAGCATTCTTTGATCGCCTGATTTGGGACAGGAAATCAACCACGCCCTCTCCCGAGAGATTTCGATACTAAAGCTATCTGGTCTTGCCTTTCTACAACAAAATGTTCACCCCCGGATTTTTTTTTCATCCAGTCGACTCTTTCCAGATTTCCCAGGAGAGTGATTAGGGGCGGTGCCTCTGATACGTTCGACTCAGTCCCTTAGGGATCCACTGACAAATGCACATATGCTAGGACCTTTAGTGTCTACCCTATTATATATTTTGCCCCATATCTGGTCGGATAATCGATATATATATATATATATATTCTCCCTTAATTATTTCGGCCAGGTTGTAAGATAGTCACTCGACCGTGTTGGAAAACAGTAACGAAATATTAAAGGAGATGTTAATTGTATAATGGTAGTATTTATGCCGCAAGCCTTACAGAACAAGTTGCGAGTAGAGAGAGTCGTAAGGCTGCATCAGATACAATGCCAAGAGCAAAAAAGATTAGAGTTGATGAGAAGAGACAGGGTTAAGGCCTATCAGTTCCGTTTTGGANTATATATATTCTCCCTTAATTATTTCGGCCAGGTTGTAAGATAGTCACTCGACCGTGTTGGAAAACAGTAACGAAATATTAAAGGGGAATGAATCTTTTAGGTGACTCTAACAGGTCTATCATCATTTATATATGTATATATAGAAGTGGGACGAAGGTGGAGTAACCAAGAATATCATTTATTAAGGTCTCTATAGAGTAATATGACCTTATTTTATAAATGTCCGAAGTAATTCATAATTCATGTCACGTTCCGCTTTAATTCGTCTCTCGAGTTTGAATCGAGTTCTGACGAGCTGTAACCTTACTTTAAGTTTTAAAAATACCGTTCGAGATTAGCATAAAGCATTAATTTATCGATCGTTACTCTGGAAAATGTTCTTAATTTTCTAAAAGTTTTATAAAAATCGATGGGGGGAACGAGCTTAAGTTCGAATTGGAAGAAGCAGGGAATTAATACAGGGTAATCCAGAAGTCGGTTAACTACTCTAGCAGTAAAATTCGTGTTAAAATGGCCGTAATTTAATTAAAAATTAATGATTATTATTATTATTATTAGCTTAAATAAACATTTAAATACTTTTTGTGGCTTTGGAATGTCTCCGGATTCATTAAAATTAAAAATAAATTGGTTTATTTTGCCTTAAAATTTAAATAATGTTTATTTCGAGGGCTCGAATTCGAGCTACAGAAGATTTACTGTCGAGATATAAATTTAAATTGATAAATATCCTGTTTAATTTATAAAGAGAGAGGCTCGTTACATTGAGAAGAAAGCCTCACAGGAGACAATATTTGTAAGAGTTGAGTAAGAAAATGGCTAGACGTAACGGCGCCGCGTAACCATTTTTAAACTCCGTTTGTTACTGAATAGGAAATGTTCAATTGAGGATAGATCGGAGATGAAGTGACTCCATTGACCAGATCCTAGTAGTACTATAATAATTGGAGGCTTCTCACTTCCTATATGATTCATAGTTTCTTGCTGCGAGACGTGGGTGTAGAGCGTAGGTGATAGACACTAAAACATAATGAAGGCTGTTTATTAATATAAAATACAGTTAAAATTACGCGTTACGTAGCCTCAACACTATTTCGCTTCTTAAATACGTTCAAAGTTTTGTAGTAACGGCTCTAAATTGATCCGTACGTAACTTCGTAACGCCGTAACTCCATTTTAAAAAAATCATTCATTCGCTAGGAAATTAACAGAGTTTAATGCTTATTAAGTGAATTATGTCAATAAACGTCTAAAAAAATAAACGTTACTCCTAATGAAGAGGTTTCCTCTATTAAATTATACTTTCTACTCCTCGAGAGATCGATCCTTAGCCATGATTTCTAAGTTAAACGGGTAAAATTCTTTAATTATTACAATAAAATAGTTTATTTTATTTTAATAATTAGACAGGGGCCATAAAGGGGCCCTCCTATCTTACTCCATTCTCTTATATTCTTGATAAATAACTTACGTAAGGTAACAAGAGCTGGTGTTATCCGTTCGTATTTGCCCTCTAGAGAGCTCGTATAAGGTTCTGTTTAACCGCATCTCATCCTNGCGAGTAGAGAGAGTCGTAAGGCTGCATCAGATACAATGCCAAGAGCAAAAAAGATTAGAGTTGATGAGAAGAGACAGGGTTAAGGCCTATCAGTTCCGTTTTGGAGACTCCACTCGATAGCTATAACGTTTAGGGGGCCACAATTAAATTATTAGACGACAGTCCAGAAAGAACACAGATCCCCTATTGTCCGCTTTAGATTCGTTCAACTGACCATCCCTCCAGACATAACAAATATAATTAAGTTATGACACATTTGTGTGTGGTTCTGCTTGTCTGTTATCATTATCCGTTAACCATTGGATTGATGTAACTCAATCGAAGTAATTTTCTCTCTAATTCTCTACCCGGCTGTAAAACACTTGGAAGGCCTTTCGGAAGCCTGAAAAGTTTCGTCTAAGTCATTTTGTAGGCCTTCCTGTTAGTTCGGAGCGATTTAAATTGAAATCTACTGCGATGAATCGAAGTTTTCACCGGTGATAAGGCGATTTTACTGATAATTGATAAGTACATAACGAGATTCGGAAAGTTTTTAGCCTAAAAGGATTTAAAAATGCTTTCAGATAATAATTTTTACTGAATTACATAAAAGTAATTAGAGAAAAGTTGTAGGAAACGGGTAGAAAAATGTAATCGTAGAATGGAAATTGCATTTTTTTCATTGTCGATCGTCTTTATGATAATATTGATGTTGGGCTAACCTCATTCTTGAGCATAGTAATTACACTAAAGCAATAAACCACGGTTTAACTACGATCTATTAATATCGAGTCTAGTATGGTAGTAGTTTCGCTGATGGAGGTTCTGCCAGAGTAACGAACAATAGAACCAATGGAGCGTTACTCTGTTCTGCAACAACTTGTCAAAGATTCCAAA